GTGTGATAATTTTATGTGCGAACATATATGTATGATTCCGAAATGTGATTAATGTTTAATATGGTGTCACAAGTACGTACGTGTGACAATGGTGTGATTTCGTATGTGAGAATGTGTGATTATTTTATGATCATGTGTGTATAAATAATTTGATTGTATGAACATTGTAACAGAATTGCTACTCTAACTTAATTCATCCTCAGCAACAATAGCAATCAATTTCCACCTTGATGTACACAACTGATCAAATAAGGAAACAATGATGTACACAACTGATCAAATAAGGAAACAATGATGTACACAACTGATCAAATAAGGAAACAATGATGTACACAGCTAATCAAATAAGGAAACAATGATGTACACAACTGATAAAATAAGGAAACAATGATGTACACAACTGATCAAATATAGAAACTATGATGTACAAAACTAATCTAATAAGGAAACAATGATGTACACAACTGATCAAATAAGGAAACAATGATGTACACAGCTGATTAAAAAGTTGACTAATGATGGATACATCTAATTCAATCAGGAGATTGTTTATCATGACTTGACGTTGAACGATTTATCACTGCTGGTGAATTGGAATCGGTTACGTAACGCTGACTTCATCTGTTGAATCTAAAAAAAAAAAAGAAACCAGCACAATCTATTGACCTGTGAGGTACAGCTTCGGATTTAAGGGTTGGTTGTGTAGGTGAGGTAGAGTTTGTCTGTGACTGTGACATCAACCGGTGTCATAGCCTCCATTAATGTCGGTAAATTGCGTCTTGACTTCCAACAATGTAACTGTCTCGTTGTCATAAATTCCTTTCTTCGATTCTGTACAACCACCCCCCTCCCCTATACAAACCCTATATTTTCCAACATCCGAGAACCCTTAGTCCACTTGTTACATAATAATTATACGATATGTCAGACACCCACCCAACACATCTAACATACTGCCTGTCAGGTTTTCCGTATGTCATACTGTCACTAGACTCTATATGTGATTCATTAAATTGTTGATCCCCTGCAAGTTCCCAAAACATTCACTTCATAATCCAATGTGAGTTGTATGACAAGTGGGGGGGGGATGACAAGTTGAGCGGGGGGTGAGGAGGTGAGACTAGATCAGTCTGGTACATAAAACGTTATGTCAACATCCGGCTCCGTGGGTCACCCCTTGCATCATTGCAAGACACAGCGGCTCTTTGAAGTTAGAAACTCGTTAACCCTGCGCATGCGCATCGGGTTCGTTCTCTCATCCTGTCGTCTGCTAAGTTATGCTAACATTCATTAGTCCTCCATTGATCACACCCTCGGGCTGTCCTCCCCACACTCGGGTCATTTGTTTATTTACTCGGGGATTTTTTTTTCTCATTTCAATATTTGCCTGTTTACGTTTCGTCGGTTTTTTTTACTCACAAATTTATGATTTATTAGGATTGTTGTTTTTATTGCTACGCTCTTTTTAAGGGTTTCTTAAAGACTTAACGAGCTCACCCCCCACCCCCCACCCCCACCCCCACCCCCCACACACACACACTCCCTTTCATCCACCATCCATCAACAGAAACATAGGTTATTTAAAAACGAAATATTATATATGGACTGCGCAAGACTGCTAACCCCAAAGTCTCGAGTTCGAATCCGGGTTCAAGTCAGTAGAAGGTCTCTGGGTCCACCCAACTCTGATCGGTACCAAACTCACGTTGGTGAAAGTAAAGTCGACTAGGCATAGTGCTGACTACACTATCCCTTCAAATGGCAAGGTCACGGAAACAGGTGAACTCTACTTCACTTGCCCCATGGACCGTCAGGTTCGAAAAAGGATATATACTTATACACAGCATGCTATCAAAAACAAAAACTATTTTCACATGTAGTTATTTTTACATGTGTTTCTTCGTTTCTAGGTTTTAATTAAAGGGACTTTAAGTCAGCATCAGAATTTTAGAGAATCTTTACTATTGTTTCATCAGCTCCTGATTTTATAAAGTTGTTTATGTTGATTTAGATCTGCACACGAATCATGCACATGAGGTACAACAAAAATGTGTAAAAAAAAATTTAACTCATTAAAACAGCCATCTACATTACATGGCGATTCTAGGTAACAAAATTTAGAGCTCAGGAGCATTACAATATAATTTGGATTCAATAGTTTCACTTCACTGCCACTTTTTAGCAATTTTTGAAGAGTAATTTTTTTTTTTTATGAAAGCAAAAAATGAAATCGTTGTGTATTACATGTTCGTTTTTATTTCCCACGCGTCATCATTACGCCTACACACAAGCACACTCAGAAACAGCACACACACACGCAAACCATCAACGAAACACCCACCAATTCCCACACATTTTCACAAACTCTTTCTTACACAACACAACAGATACAACACACACACACACAAACTCAACCGCAAACTTAACCACACATTACAAACCCACTCGAACTCATATACAACAAACTGACAAACACACAAACACACCAACCCTTGGAGAGAAAACTTGTATTGATCCACTGGCCGCTAAGTTGATGAACACCTCACTCTGTTATGGAAATATATTTAATTGCAATACATAAAGATAATGAATTGTAATTAAGTTAATTATTTTTCTTTTTAAATCATGACATTTTCTTAATCGATGGTTGGACTTAACATACATTAAACTCGGCAGATGTACTCGTAGACAAAACAAAATAATGAATGGGCAAAAATATTTCATTCCAGACCTAACCCCCACCCATAAAACCATTCCTCCACCCCCCCCCCCCTAACCTACTTGGTTAAATAACTCACTCAGCAAATGAAAATAATGCGTCATAAACAGAACTCAACCAATGTACAGAATAAAAAGGAGATTCAACTTTTTAAAACACCAGCCTGATTTGTCTTAGTATTACACAGACGTTTTTCTTAAATCCGTGTGTGCCTCCTTAAGACAACATACAAGTTTAGAGTCTGTATGTGATTTTATGCGATCAGCGTGCCATCGTTATGCATGTCATCAAGGTGTAATGTAATCCACATGTAGTCTAATTAACATATTTTTGTCAACTCTCAGAGGAGCAGAGGTCATTTACAAAATTATGTCATGCTTTCCTTTTTCTTTTTTCCTAGTTGTAACATTAAGGAGATTTCCTCCAACAAAATTAAGTATTATTTCTTAATAAAGTATGCGTCAAATGGCCCATTAACTCCGATTTCAGCCTGCTTTTCTTTCTGGACACCCAAGAACAATCTGGAAGGCGTTAGCGTTATTTATTTATTTATGTGTAGTTTTCTCCCCTAGATGGGTTGGAAGTTCCAAGCAAGCGAGTCTCAAGATGCCCGGGTTTCATTTCTTTCCAAATCTTTACCTCATGTTTATGTCTTTTTTTTTTCAAAATCTTTCCTTTGTGTGGTTTTTTTTACACTCTTTATAAATCTTTACCAAATGTTTAGGTTGTTTTTTCCATTCCTTTTAAAAACTTTACCTTATGATTATGTCTTTTTTTCCATTATGTGAGTACTTTTTTTCATTTCTTTCCTCCATGTGTTTTGGGGTCCATATAAGCAACATGTAATCAACGTGTAGTCAACGTGTAATCAACAGCCAATCAACATCACGGTATCATACAAAACAACCACCACAATTTGCAGACGACCACCAATGCACACAATTTAGAACCTCTGTCTACGTCACTTCCGCCCTCTTGATTAAACGTAGTTCTTGCAACTAACAACAGCCTTGAAATATTTTATTTAGATATCAAAATATTTAAAAACTTGGACCAGATTAAAAACAAATCAATAACTTACATTCGAGGTTCTGATGTGAAATTTGAATGCTGTGATTGACGCGACGTCACTGCTAAAATATTCGCTGAGGGGGACATTCTAAATCTACCTTGTCCTGTTGCTGTTTAATTAATTGGTTTCAATTGATTAAAGCGTGTGAAATGAGAACGAACGCTAAGTAACAATAATTCTTTTTTTTTTCTAATTAAACAATGCACCAGTCTTTCCATTAATATAGTTAATCGTATCATCTTGATTGTAACGTTATATCCATATTTTTTAATGGACGATAAAAATTTGGTAAAACATGGTTTAGCATACTTCGCATTATGTGCAGTTTTAAACAAAGTAGATTTTTGTACTAAAGCTTCAGATAATCAGAAATTTTAATAATCTCAAGATTTTCTGCAATAGAGAATCTGAGTTGTTTTTTTTCTTGATTTTGAGGCAACTAATGTCGTTTTTTTTTCATCAATGAAGCGCGACACCATATAAAAATACCATAGTTACGTGTATATATATATATATATATATATATATATATATATATATATATATATATATATATATATATATATATATATATATATATATATATATATATATATGGGTTAGGTGTAAGGTAAAGTTAGATGTAGGTTTTATCCACGTTGGCAGGGATTTCCTCCAGCATAATTTTAAGCCTATCCCGTCAACATGTATTGCGCCGCATGGCGGTTTACTCGGACTTGTGTGTCTGCTTTTGTTCTGTATGTGCTTCCATCGTTTCATATTTGCACAAGAACATCTGCTGTTTGATTTCAGAGTTTTCTCCCCTAGATGGGTTGCTGTCCCTCGCTTGCGCACCAGTATTAATGTTAATAAAAATAAATAGTATTTTTACATATAAAAAGAAGATTTTAAATGCAAAGAAAATAAATAATACAAACTTGAAGTTAATTTGCAAAACAGTTTTAAAAAGAACGTGTTAACACATGTCATAAAGATTAAACCTTACATTCAGATATTATGTCATATGATTATAAGCCTAAGAAATGTGTCAGATATTGACAGGGGGGTGACAGCTTGACGCGTCGTCTGACAAATCTCTGATTGAAACAACATGACCGCCGCTGGATGAAGTTTTGACACTCCGTGATGAGAACACCAGGAACAGGTTGGTTTGTCGGTCAGGTGGGGTGGGGTGGGGGAGTGGCCCGTGGGTCACACCGGCCCGTGGGTATTTAAGTCCCAGGGTCATGTTGGGCTTTAGTTGGTTTTAGAGTTTTCTGGATACCCTCTTCCTTCACTAATCAGGTAAGCGAGGCGATGGTTTATAAAAATTTTAAAAGTTTTTGTTATTTAATACTTTTCTTTAAAACTGATTTGTTTATTTCTACAAGAGTTGAAAGTAAAAATGCGCTTTCATACATTTATTTTTAGGAGTTTTAAGAGTTATTTGCTTTAGTTAATTTAACTATATAGGCTAATTTGTGGTCCAAAGTGATAGTATACGTAGATTGGTTGAGCTTGTGTGAGACTACACGTTGATTGGTTGAAATCGGGTAATTTTGAAATTTTTGGCTGAACCATTGTGAGACAGTTGGGCTTATTACATACACCAAATAAAATACATCTTACCATATTACATCCTGGCCAGGAAACACTACATTCTAAGTATTTCTGTATTTCTTGTGATGATTTTTGTTTTCTTATCAGGAGGAATGGTTGTTTTGTCATTTATTTATTTTTGTTTTGTTAGTTGTTTTTTTTTTTTTGTTTTTTTTTTGTTTGGGGTGTATATAATAACCATGTAAACCTGTGCTAATGTTGCTGTCGCCAGCCGACAGTATGAACGCTGCATTAGTGCTGTGTGTGTTGGCCCTGTTGGTAACCCTCGCTGTGGGCCAGTACTGGGGCGGCTATTCCCGGGGCCTTGGAGGCTACCAGAGGTACCCCAGGTGGGGAGGATACAACAACTACAGGCCATGGGGAGGCAGATGGGTGAGTGGCACTCCCGGTTTAAACTTTTTTGCATTTTTTTTTTTGCATTCCACCCGCCATGTTGATGTGTGTTATGAAAACAATGCCACACGGGGAGACAGGGCCACCCTTGACCCTCCCCCAGCATCAACACTACATCTTTAAGTTGAAATCACGGCATCCAGTTTTCTGCTGTAGTATCGGCTTACTGTCAATCAACACTATACGGCTTTACCGTGAAAATTCAGTGGAAAAAAGTGTCTGAAGATTTTAAGTTGAGCAAGATTAGTTTTCAATCCTGGACTAAATGTTAACATGGCTGTGTCTATCCTAGATCAAATGTTAACATCGATACATCTCGACCTAGATCAATTGTTAACATGCAGGCCTATACATTTATCATAGATCAAATGTTAACATCTATACACCTTTTCTCGACCTAGATCAATTGTTAACATGCAGGCCTATACATTTATCATAGATCAAAAGTTAACATCTATACACCTTTTCTCGACCTAGATCAATTGTTAACATGCAGGCCTGTATATCTATCATTGACCAAATAGTAACATGTCGACCTACATCCATCATAAACCAAATGTTAACGTGTTAAGTTAATCCTCAATCCTTAACTTTATCCCCACAGTGGCTCGGCGACGACTGGGACGACAACTACGGCTGGGACTAAATTTTGGCTGAGTCGCTCATCGTCTACCGTCATATAACTTTTAAAATAAAGTTAACAGAAAATTGTAATCAGTTTTTGTTCATGTTTTTCTAAACTCTACCTATGTTTATTTCATTATCAAATGATCAGGTAACTCACATAATAACCCAGTGTCTTTCACAACCGAGCAGTAGTTTTTTTCACGTACATTATACCCTAGCGTCCCTACATAGTTGCGTCACACAGCAAAACATCAACAACCAATCAACCATCAACAACCAATCAACCATCAACAACCAATCAACCATCAACAACCAATCAACCATCAACAACTATCAACTATCAACAACCAATCAACCATCAACAACCAATCAACCATCAACAACCAATCAACCATCAACAACTATCAACCATCAATAACTATCAACCATCAACAACTATCAACCATCAACAACCAATCAACCATCAACAACCAATCAACCATCAACAACAATAAACAACGAGGTAATAACACCACTACCCCATAAATTACACCACATATATTGAAAGTAACATATATATTTTGTTTGTTTGTTTTTTTTTTATGTTTTTTTTTTTGTAAATTAAATGTATAATAAGAATTGCATCCAGTCTACAGTTCCTATAGAGCCAGCATTGTTGGAACATTTGATTATGTGCAAGACTAGTCAACAATCAACATCAATGTGGGGCACTTAAAATAAATTATACGGTTATTAAAAAAACCAAGATACACAGAAACTGTTGCAATAACTTGCATCATATTAACATTACATGATTACATCATTAGAGTATTGAAATGACGTACTAGCAACACTTTCATGAATGATATCACTGTAAGGTCATGCTTTTCAACTGATATAGTTACATCTTGTGGTTATCTTCGGCCTGGTTAGGCTAAGTAGGACCTATTCATATCAGTACATAGTGACCTTTAACCTTCAGATGTGGACGGTGTGGCCTAATGGTAGAGCATTTGTCTGTTAACCTGGAAGTCTTGAGTTCCGATCCCTGGCTAGAATCTTAGAACATCCCCGAGTCCACCCAGCTCTGTGGGGTACCTGACTTATGTTAGGGAAAGTAAAGATGGCTGGGCATTAAGCTGACCACATTATCCCTGCTTATGTCGAGGTTACAGAAACAGGTCAACTCTGCTTCACTTGCCCTATGGGCCACTAGGTTTGAAAGGAAACTTTGCTTTAGCCTATCCGAAATCTAAAACCTTGCTCTGTTATTTCTATTAAAAAAAATTAATAGCACAATTGGTTTAAATAGGCCTATAAAAATAAAGATAGAAGTCATCAATTTAAAAACAAATAATTTAAATATATTGCACAGTAAATAGTAAATGGGGAATGTTGTGGACTATATAACACAATTATAATGTAAACAAAATGCAATAATTACTTCTATCATTAATGTGTTTCTACTGAACAACAACAAAAAACGGCATTTCATTAGGAAAACAAGGCCTGTATTAAAATGAAATATTTCAGAATCTATATTTTCCAGAAAGCTTTGCCATTTTCCGCTCATAAGGATTCTTGTATTTTCCACCTTTTTTCACCTGTGACTCTTGCCAGAGCTTGGTAAAAAATGGATCTTTGGTCATGGGTCTATACTTGGAGTGGAAGTACATGGAGATTAAGATTGGGTTTCCTGAAAAAAGGTTTCCTGTGTAAAACCTGGTTTGGAAATTATGTTTTAAAAGTTTTCTTCCAGAAAAAAAGCTTGGGTTCAATAAAAAGCCAAATAAGTTTGAAAAATTTAGAAAAATTTTGCAAAAAGTTAATTGTGTGTTTTTTTTTCTTAAATGCATTGAGGTTATGTTTTAAACAACCTTGTCAGTCTCTTTTGACAAAGATTTCTTAATTTATAATTTTATTTCACCAAAACAATTTTAACTAGAATTATTAAATTAGAATGTACAAAACTAAAATATAAAAACTCACCACAAGACAAATAGGCCTTGGTGACCTAGTTTTTTTTACATGTATTTATATGTATGGACGGTAAGTTTGTGGTAGAGAGTGTGAGACCGAAATGTCAGTTTTTCTGGTTGAGATTTTGTCTGACTGTCTGGCTAGGGATTTTCAAAACTTTGACAGAAAAAGCAGTCGCTCAGTTTAACAAGGTGTTAATGTGATGGAAAGTTTGATAAAGAGATCAGGCACCTGTAGGTGTTGTTGGGTACTGGTACTGTTGTAAGGTCCAGGGAGCCTCTACTTGTGCCATGATGGCCTTAGAGAACACATTGCCATCCCAAGCTGTTCCCTACAAGATAAAATAGTTCAAAGTATTTCTTTGTAACTTAGCTACAAGTAGACAGAAGTAGAAATAAAGTAAATCAACATTTACAGTACTGATATAACACCAACTCCAAAAGAAGATTTATATGAATTTACATCATCCACCCACGACACCCTCATCTTGTTCAGTTTATTTATCATGGTGTCAATCAATGGATTTAAAAGGTCAAAGTTCATACAATGACTAACAACAAACTGTGTTTTGTCAAGGCCAAGATATATAACTAAAATGAGTGTGCTGTCAGCATTAAGCCCAGCTGGGCTTCATTTACCCAAACATTGTCAGGTACTTTAAAGATGCTGAGGTAATGAGAACCCCTTGATTGTTGCACCACCACACCACAGAGCCCACAAACAACAATTTTATTTCAACACTACCACATCATTACCATAAGCCACACAGCTAACCATCAACAACCATCAACAACAAAATAACAACACCACTACCCCACTACCACACAACACAGCACTAACCATCAATAACCATCAACAACAACATAACACCACAACCACAAAACACAGCACTAACCATCAACAATGATTAACAACAAAATAACAACACCACTAACCCACTACCACAATGCCATAACAACAGTGAGCCACACCTAGCTAGACTGAGACTTACATTTTGTATAAGCTGAGCTAGCCAATCAGCAAAGAATTCAAATCTCGGCTTGTAAAAACTGAAACATTAATATATTCATCATTTATTCAATAAAAACTATTTAAATGTTCATTTGTCTAGCTGAGTGGGATCCACAGGGAAAGAAGAAGAGATGAAGGCCAGAAATGTTTAAAATAAAGAGATGAGGGAGGCAAATTTGTCATGGCATGAGGTAAAAAAGAAAATTAGCCACTAATTAAGTGAAAGTAATTACAAGGAAAAAGATTTAAAAGAATGGATGTACTGACTAGATCAGGGGTCTCCAAACTACGGCCCGCGAAGTCCTCTAATCCGGCCCGCGGAGATCATTTTGTCCAAAGAAAAATCGTTTGTTGGTGATGGCTGGGGAACTTTGCCCAGAAAATTCAAAGACATGCCTGGAAGAAACTGGCCCCCGAACTGAAATCTGATAGGTAATGCGGCCCTCGGACTGAAAAGTTTGGAGACCCCTGGACTAGATGATCAAATATAATACCACACTGACCCTTTTTTTTTGTTTCTATTAAATCTTCACTTTTACATAATACAGTTTAAGATCAAAAGAGTTTTAGATTCAATTTTTACTTTTTATACCATCAGTTATTTAAAAACTATTCAACTGTTTGAACATCTACAGAACAAAAAACATTTCCCCACAACTTACTCTGCTGTTACTCCTCCCCATTATTTAGATGCTTAGTCACAAATCTGAAAAAAATAGCATCATTTTTTTCAAAATAAACATGAATATTATTAGCAGTACTTTATAATATGAAAGTAATGCAAGTAAGTAAACACTTAAAAGAAATTATAATTTACAAATAACTTTTAAAATAAAATGTATTACCATTTAAATTGAAATTTAGAATAGGAACACACTCCACTGTTGTTAAATCAAGTGGTACATTATTTAACTAAATGCCATTTTGCTTTAAATAATGGTCATCATCGAAAACAGCTTCCACTTTCAACTAGAAATACTGAATCCATGCATATAAGCATATAACTAATAAAAAGAAGATACCTGCGCCGTGGGCCCCCACAGTGTTATTTGGTTGCGAGCATTATATTCATACAACTTTGACTCATCAGCATCTGTAGCCCATGACCTGGCATCAGCTATCCAGGTCCCCAGAAGAAAACGTTCATTGGCTGAAAGCAGGTGGTCCAAGTCTGCTAGAAGATCTACTAGGCTGGCACCAGCCACCCTAAGAGAAAATGTACATTACACAGTGATATTCAATGGTCGGGTTTGTTTCTATATAGAAGTAACATTACATGGTGGTATTCAAATGTCTGATTGATTTCTCCACTAGTACAGATGTAACTTTACACAGTGTTATTTAACTATCTAGTTGGGGGTGTAGGACAAAAGGCCGACATCCAAAAGGCCGACATGCACAAAAGGCTGAGAGCCAAAAGGCCAATAGGACATAAGGCCGACAGCCATAAGGCAGACAGTCAAAAGGCCGACAGGAATTCACCTTCTTTGGGGTTAAAACATAGCAGAAATAAGAATGTTTGTTTTAGAAACACCACCACATCCCTAATGGATGATAATGGTAAATAATTTTTTTTTATTAAAGCTAATTGCTTTTCCATTAGGCTTTTATTAAAATTACTTTAAAGTTTTAAAAATTATTGCAACAAATAAATCAAGTTTTTTTTTTATTTATTAATTTTGCTTTTGAAACTAATTTAAAAACCCTCAACTTTAAATAGATTACCTATCCAAATATTTATTAACTTAGTGTATTAGCTTTTTAAACTTTAATAATACATACCATTAAAAGTTCCCAAAGCATTTTGACAACTATTTTTGCTTTGATACTTTGGGTAAACAGATCTAGCTTGGATGTGTACAAATATACTTTAATATACATTTTTTTAAATGAAATGAGTGATGTTTTTACAGATAAAAATATTAAAAGATGTGTATACCTTGTTAATGATATCAACAGCACCATATAACTCCAAAGTTATGCAACATACACCATATAAACGGCTGACCGTAGTAAGATTCAAAATTTTGATACAGGGGTCCATTCTCTGAATCTAAGTCCAACACAATCAACCGTTCCTGGTGAAGAGGTACAGAAAAATTAATCTGTAGCATGACAAAGTTTGTGATGACAGTGGGCAATTTAAAACATGGACCTTACATCAGGAAAACAAAAACTATTTAATTTTCCCCGCCTTTATCCCATAATTTTGAGCTGGAAAATTACAAAAGCAAAATAAAGTGTTAAGATCAGAATGGAGCTGTGTGATTGAGTGGCAGCCCATGCAATGAATAACACTCAACTTCTGTTCAGGCTCCAACACTGAGTTTGGCCTACATATGATGCCAATGGATCCACCCCATTCTAGGGCCCGGGTGGGGCATAACAAAATATTCCCATAAATTTAGAACTTTACCTCATCTGCCCCATGAAGTTTCTGGATACCATAAAGTTTTTTCAAATGTTGAGGTTTGGGTCAATATAAACTTCAAATCTTTCCTGTGGGATAAAGTATTAAAAGGGACATTCAACAGACTTTGGATTAAGTTTAAGTATTAAGTGTGACAGGCCTTGGATAAAATTAAAGTCTCACCTGTGGTACTGAGGTGACAAGAGCTTTGACAAGGGTTGGTGTCCAGTAGGGATCATAAAACAGCCATCCCTGCATTAACCTAAAGTTAATTAAACATTTTTGACAGAGCAATATAACAAAATAAGAAACGATGGAAATAATTTAGTGGTCTCAACATAACAAAACTTGCTATAAAACAATGTTCTTGACGGATCTATGTATTTATACGGATCAAGATGTGCAAGAAAACAAAAGTGACTAAAAAAAACTCAAAATTAAAAAACCATGAAAACAATTATCTTAACAGATGTATGCACTCATACAGAGCAAAAGACTTACCAAACAGCTTGTGGGTCACCAGCCAGCATCCCATAGTAAACAGCTTTTCCAGCATTGCTAATGTATGTAGGATCACTGTAGGATATAATTATTATGATCAGCATGATAACAACTTATGTATTTAAGACAACATATGTATGCAGGATCCTGAGGAATACTGTCATAACAACTTAAGTAAATAGGATGACTGTGGAATACATTTATTGACAACTAAAGTATGATGAAACTCTGTAGGATAAAATTAGCATGGTAAAAACAAAATAGAAAATATTAATTCATGCAAGCTGTTAAGAGAACAGCCCCAAATATCTTACCTAATTTATGGAAGTTTTGTTAAATTCTATTTATTTGAACTCTGAGCTTTAGGTCTAATATAACAAATGTACCTGGATGTTGGAGTCATCTCATTAAAAGTATCAGCATTGTAGATGTGATCTGTACCAAACTCATTGGCTTGCTGTTGTGAAAACATAAGTAATGGAAAAAATTATTCTTAGTAGATAACAGGTTGAATAAACTCCAGTATAAAGTCACAGGATAAATAGATTAAAAAGTAAGGCAATGAAGGCTTCACCACAGTTCATGGCAATTGACTTGAGTAGGGCCTATAATATAATTTAGATTTTTAAATTAAAGTTGACTTTTGATTTTGCCACATGTCATATTTATTTAGAAAAAAACAGTCATCTCAGCATAATTCCTAACAACCCAAGCTATTTATTATACTCACAGCTTCAATGAAAGCTTTGCTGATATTGGTGAACAAAGGATCTTGAAAATCCAAAAGGTAAGTTCTGAAAGGTAAGTGAAAATATAAATCCGAGACTTATGGATCCTACTTTTTTATAATAATGTCATGTACATATTTCTATGGTTTTCATTAATATTTTTAGGACATAAATATTATGTCTTTGTATTTAACATTTTTTACCAAACTAAACACACTTACGCTGAATATGTTTCATTAAAATTACTCCATGTTGGAAGACGGCTAACTTTTGCTTGTGGGAGAATTCTGTAACAGTTAAGGGAAGAAATTTAAATGCCAATAGAACAACAAAATTTATTTTAAAATTAAAATAGATAATCTTTTATTATTTTAAATCAAATCAAACTTTAACAATTAAAAATTATTTTAATGATATTAACACAAAGAAGTAAATATTTAAGTTTTTATTTAATAAAAATAAAATACTCAGAGAAGAACATTTACATAAATGTTATTTTGTTAGATTTTTTGAAAGTTAAGCTAACCAATTGCGACAAAACTTTGAAATATTAATGAAAATAAGTTGGAATGTATAAAATTTCAAAAGCACCTTGTTATTCCACTGGGCACATGTCCAGCAAATGCAGGTAACACAGGTATCATTCCAAATGACCTCATGCGCTCAAGTATCTGATGTTGTAAAATTAACTTATTGGTTATCCACATCTGTGGGAGTGGACCTCCCCATCCTTGAATGTTACCCATTCTAGTCCTGGTAGGAAAAACAATTTTCAAATTAACATTTCTTTAGTAAATTTTATACTGTATCAAAAATAAGCAAAAAGTATCAACCCATTCTTTTCCATGATACTTTTATTGAAAAAAGACATACCAAGCGAGAAAGCTGGACCACCAAAAAATCCATCCATATCAGTTTGTGTGAATCCCATATTCATATAAACCTAACAAAGGTAATGTTTTTAAAAATGAATGTCTGTGTGAATGTCTAAATTTTGTATTAATTTTGAAATCATTGATGAATCTGTTTGGTTTTAACACATCAATAAAAACTATAGTTTATAATTAAATGTAGTAAAATTTCAAGAAAAAATATTTAAAAAAGAAATGTGTATTTTGTACTTATCTCTTGAGAGTATCTAGAGAAAGATAATGGTTTGATAACAATCCAAGCTTCAACAGTTGCAGAAAAAATTATTTAGTACTAAAAGTATTTAACTCAATTTTCATTGAGTTAAAAAAAAAACTACTTGCCCTTTGAAAAATAGCCTCTTGGCCTGTAAATGCAAGAGGCAAATTAATTCCTTGCATAGCCATCCAATCATATTTCTTGTTCCCAACGTGGCCATTGCCAGAATGCCATTGTATAACTGACTGTGCAAACGTTCTGATAATAACGGAACCTGTCATAAAATAATAATTTACAAAGATTTTTTACTCTAATCAAAAGTAAAAATATTCTCAAAAATCAAGTCGATGCTTGAAAAGATATGTTTACGTTTGATTGTGAATTCTTAAAGTTAAAAACATAACAGCTTACTTGTCATTGGTGGTAATTTTGATGGGAGTGGTTATAACTGGGAGAGTTGGAGGCAGCTCTGTTTGTTGACCTGCCCATGTGCGCTGACCATTACAATAATATTTTAGGTAATAATAGAATCCGATTGAAGCAGCAACACCACTTGTACCAGTAACCTCAATTCCATTCTCTGTAGATCTTAACTAGAAAAAAATGAAGGCAAAATTAAATATGTTGCATGACAAAGTGATCCAATCAGTGATCTAGAAAGTGAGATACTAAATTATTTAGGTAGCATTTATAATTTACTAATGAAATTGTATTCATGCAGTATATTTTTGGATCATTAGTTTTAAATATCTTAACTGGAAAATTGCTTTATACAAGCAGCTGTGTATATACAACTTAGTGCACTTTTGTCAGAGTCAATCAAATTCTGCTCTTATATGTGTTTAGGGATATATATATATATATATATATATATATATATATATATATATATATATATATATATATATATATATATATATATATATATATATATATATATATATATATATATATATTTTACATTTTTTCTTTACCTTATTCACCCAAGGTATGCATTGAAACATAAATAGAAAGCTGCTATAGATGGATAGACTTGACCTACCTCATCTCTAACTACACCACTAATGATAAAAATGTATCAACAAAATTAATTAAAACATTACCTGGAATGTATCTTTATTGTTTAGTCCAATACTTGGATCAACTATAATTCAGAAGCTCTGTCCTTGATTAATCTACTGATCAAATCTTTTACAGCTTGTGCTTGTTGCTCAGGGGTTGCTTTTGATTTTATGTGGTTGAGTTGTGAGAAATCTACATGATGGCTGTAACAACAGAAATAATTAATTCCTAAATAATTATTGCAAGATAGAATATAAATAAATGACATTAATTTAACTACCATGAATAGAAACAACAGCTTTGCAAAAAAAAGGTAATCTATATTAAGGACTTGTCAAAAAAGGTAATCTGTATTAACAATTGTGTTTTAATATTTATTTATGGCTTGGGACTGATATTATTCAATGTAGGGGATTTTTACAGAAAGGATAGTAAGTTAACCAAATACCAAATAATTCCAATGGCATACCAATGACAGCTGTTACTGAAGGCAATAATACCATCACATACAGGAAAACATTCATCTGTTTAAAAAAAAGGAGGTCAAACATGAATAACAACAGAGTATTTACATGAAATTACATCATAACATTGTCACAAAATAGGAATTTTTCACTCATACCATATGACATTATTATAATATGTTCTTAAACTACCATCAAACAACATTTCAAGGAATTACACTCCCTAAAATGACATAAGCCGTACATCTTGTGAGAATCAAATCATTTTAGTAAAAACAAGTAGATCTAATTAAAAAAAGTCTAGTGACAATTTTAGCGCAATTTCCTTATGTTATCTAAAAATAGCTCTGTCGTAGCGTAAATCAAGAGCAGGGTTAGTAAAACCATTGGTTAGTTATTAAAACGTTTTTTATTAATCTTTTTTTCAGTATTTTACATGTTTTATTTACAATAGAGTAACATGACTAAAAACCATTGCGCGCCTAGCTACCGAACGTGATGTCGCAGCCATTGAACGTGATGGCGCAGCTATTGAACGTGATGACGCGTGTGGTGTGGTTGGAAAAACATGCCTACTAATTCGGTCCAAATTTTAATTAATTCAAAAAATATTTTGTGACCGAACGAAAGGATATTTTTGAAAACTTTCTTCGGCAATATTGTTCTAAATTATGGCAGGAATCGATTGGTACATGTTTCAAGTCGCTAAGTGGTCTGGTTGCCGAGATATGGGCCAAAAACTGAATTTTTTTCGAGGTTTTTTGGCTTTTTCGGGAAATCCATGAAAGAAACCCGGAATTTTTTTGGCCTATGTTCATCCTCGTAACTTGCTTAACATAATTGCTTTTGTAACTAGTCATCGATATTGCTTCGTTGAGGAGGAGATACGACTTAAAGCCCGGACACACATTCATACATCCATACATTCATCCATCCATACATTCCCAGAAATGACGAGTTAATAAACGCAATTCTCCAGAATGGAAATTGCGCTAAAAATCACCTTTTACCTTTTCATCTGAGACTGCTGAAAAGCCTTAAAAAGTGTTAAAGAAAGGAAAACATGCCAAAATTTTGGACTGAAAACCAAAGACATTGTTAAATTGGCCCTAATCTAGGATATTTTAATTATTGCCAGCACCCTACCTCATTAATAAAATGTGTGACACATGAATTTGCCAATACCCCTTACACAAACTATCTTCAAAAAATCTTCATAAAATGCTAAATAAATGCTAACAATTAATTTTTAAAATATTTTTTAATGCTAAACTGTGACGTCATGCTTTCTTAACTCCTCTTTCCCTTGTTACAATGTCGCTAAAGTTTCCTCCCCTACCACCCCCTCTGCACCCGGCCCTTTTTTTAAAGTGTGGCGTCATTTAAGGACAACCGTTCTTGGAAAAAATGCTTACCGCGTTTATTAGTTAAACCTTCTCCACCCCACCCCACTTCTACGAGCAGCACATTGCCATATTGAACAGTGTCATTACCCTCTCCAATTCCCAACCCCAACTACACATACTCTTTTAACGTTACCTTAAATATGGTGCTAAAGTTCATTCTTTTGTAATCAATTGATATGTGCTGACGCTGTTACTGTTTAAGATTTTTTACTTCAATCAAATTTTATCGTAACTATGTCTGTATTTTAATATTTACTTGGAGATCGCCATTTTCATGAAGTATGCTAATATCACGTGATGGATCGACAACTAGGCCTAATTAGAAAACAGATCTTCGACCTTCGAGATTTATTTATTATATTAATTTATATTTATATATATATATATATAAACACTTAAGAATTATCGCTTTCGGATATGGTAATCTAATCTGGTTATCCTATAATATAGGCCTACATATAGGCCTAGTAGTTACTGTTTGCGAACAATTAGTTGCGAACTATGCCTTGAAATCAGTAGCGTACGCAGGGGGGGAGCAGGGGGAGCAGCCGCTCCCCCTCTGGCCATTTTCCGCAAAGTGGCGCCTTTTTGGAAACTTATATTTGGAAACCCCCCTCCCCCATGGACCCCTCTGTAAAAAAATATTGTCATAATACCACTGCTACTTATTTAAATCTATTTCTGTAATATATATTTGTGTAATATATATGTATGTTTAGAACAGTCATCTAAAAACTGACGCTATGTTCACTCTGAGTTGGTTATCTCCCCCCCCCCCCCACACACACCTCACCACCACAACTGTGTAGAGCGACATTAATGTCACACCTAGGTATACACTGGGTTGGATAATTGACAGTGGTGAATGAAGTTGAACCCACCCACCCTCCCCCCAACCCACCCCGAATTGATCTGTTAAGTACATGTAGAAAAAAGCGTAATGATGTACCAAAGTACCATGCCGCCAGAAAATTAGCTTTTTAAACGTAAAACTCTGTGAGTATTGTTTTTGCATTTACCAGTAAAAAAGTGTGTGATCAATACAGTGATCTAATCCATACCTATCACTATGTTAAAAAATTATCTTTAAAGAACACAAAGAAGCAGTAGTTAATTTAGTAATTAAGATTATACGATTTGAACCAAAGCCCAATATATAGTTAAATGTAGGCTATTATTACGAGTGTTTTTCTATTACATCGAAAAGCGTGGTTTTATACCAACACTGATTTTAAAAACTTTCATTATGCTGTAATACTTTAGCATTTATGATGACGATATATTAATTTCTGATTATAGAAAAAAACATTTTGTAAACACGAATAGTGGTAAAAAATTTCATTATATTCTAAAGTAATTATTTATTTGTTTTGACATTTATAATTAAATGTTTAGATATATACATATTTATATTAAGAGAGTGAGTATTTCCCCTATTTCACTTGACTTAAATAATTTCTCACGAATTATTATGTAAGAAAATTTTTACAAGAATTACAAAACAGATAATGTTACGTTCATAGTATTTGGTTGTAGTGTATATATATATATATATATATATATATATATATATATATATATATATATATATATATATATATATATATATATATATATTGATACAATTTTTGTTTTGTCGGCCTACATTGTGTGTTTTTTCTTATTTCTTCAGAGTGCTACTTTGAATTTATTTTACATCATAGCGAAGTAATGACATACAGCTAGTAATTATATATATATATATATATATATATATATATATATATATATATATATATATATATATATATATATATAATACTCGTATATAGAAGGTGTTAAAAATTCGGCGCCTTTTTTTTTGTTGCTCTTTTCGCTCCCCCTACAACGAAAAGCTGGATACGCCTCTGCTTGAAATATTAGAATAATGGAAACACGTTTGAACAGACAAAACTCCACACACAGAGACAAAAAAAAACGACCCACAAATGTACCCAGTCTACAGCCGCCCCCCCCCCCCCCCCCCGCCCTAAATACAGCAAATGTCACAGCCATCTAAAAAAGTAGAGTGAAACAACCGTTTGTTAGCACGCAGAATTATACGGGACTGCGCCCCCCCCCCACCCGAAGAGATACCTGGAAGAAACTCTGCCAACCCCCCCCCCTTTCCAGTCCTAAATGCAGCAAATGTCACATCCATCTGAAAATGTAGAGTGAAACAACTGTTTGTTAGCACGTAGAATTATACAAATTCAACTTCTAATAAAACCAAGGCAATATAACCCTTTAAGTGTTTGAAGGAAAGCAATGAATGAAACACTTACATCAATTTCTGCCAAAAATGTATAAAGAAAATATATGCTTTTACCCAGTGGCGTAGCGAGGTCGGGTATGGACCCGGTGCGGCACTTATTGGTGTCACCCCCCCCCCCCCAGAGGCGTAGCGACCCTTCCCGGGGACAAGCTTTCAAATTTTCGATTTGCAACCCCCCCCCCCCAAACTTTCGATATGCACCCCCTCAAACTTTCGATTTGCACCCCCCCCCCACTCAAACTTTTATTTTGCACCCCCCTCAAGTTTTTCTCTATATATTTTGCTATTTGCTATTTTTTGCCTTGGTGTCACCCCCCTAAATGGTGTCACCCGGTGCGGTCCGCACCCCCCCCCCCGCCCCCCCCCCCCCCCCCTCGCTACGCCTCTGCTTTTACCAGTGTCATGGTAATGGTAATGACCAAGAAAGATTTGCAGAATAATCATTTTCGTATAACGTCACGTGATTGTTGCTAAAATCGAATCATGTGACTT